GCAGAGTCTTAATCAAACTTTACTCAAGTATAAAGCATTATGAAGGAAATATTTAGAATAAAGCCAATATATAAACTTCCTTTCCGTATAGACGTATTTACGTCAAATTCTCCGGAACTGTGGTTCCACTCACAATTTTTTGTGTTTCATTGGTATAAATTTCCGTCAACAATCGGCTTTCGTTACTGTGGAAAAAACTGAGCTGTAAGTCGTTTGTAGAAGAAGTGCTTCGTAGAAGAAATACGTTTGTGTTGTTGAAAACGTTTTATAATATCATATATATCGTATATAAGTATTACTAAGCAATTTGTGATACTGCCCTCCACATTTTCCATTTTATTATTGATTCAATTGATCATTGTCTGTGGCCATCGTGAACTCTTCCTCTTGGACAAAGTTTGAGGTAAGGGATTCCTATTTATTATTATTATTGCTGTTCATCACATTTACATGTTTTCATATGCATTTGTGAACTCGTGTAAGAGAATTAGGCTTGTCTTCTCTTTAATACAATTTCAAGTAATAATACTTGACTTCTGTTTGTTCACGGCATCATTTATAATAAAATAATATTTCAGTAGGCAATTAACATTTTAAAGGAATAAAACGTGTTTCGTAGCCCCTGAATCTTGATACATCTATATTATTAATGCGTTTTAGGGAACTGTAAAGAATTTTTATTTCGGTTTCACAAGCCTAATTATCGTCGAATCTCCCTCTTATTATCTTCCTACAACAGCAGGTTAAATCCGGGGAATGCTTGCTGTCACTGAGTGCAAAGTCTTTTGTCCTCCCGTCTCATATCAAAAGAAAATTAAGATTAAAATGAACCAAAGCGTAGTTTTGCCAGTTGTGCTCTGTGGGTGCAAAACGTGGTCTATCGCTTTGAGGGAGGAACATAAACTGAGGATCCTTGAGAACAGTGTTTTGAGGAAGATATTTGCACCCAAAGCGGGAGTGGGGTAGATAATAGAGAAAAGTGCATGCTGAGCCTCACGGCCTGTACTCCTCACCCGATATTTTTAGGGTGGGGTGGGCAGGGGAGGGGTATTTACGAGTAATTGGGGGGTGGGGGTGGCCTGAGGGGAAGAGACCGCTGGGGAGACCTAGACGTAGATGGAAGGATAATGTCAGACGGAATCTATGGGAGATAGGAGTTGAAGGAGACTGGATTTTGTTGGCCCAGGGCAGGGTCCGGTGGAGGGCTTTTGTTAATTCGGTGATGAAATTTCGGGTTCCGTAAGCCGTCTAGGTAGTTAGTTACATCATTCACATTTACAGCTTTGTCATTTTCTATTGACTCTCAACAGGCATTTCTGTAACAAAGAAACAAACTGACTCCATGGAGTCTAACAGTAGCCGAGCTTATCACATGTCTCGCTTTTATGAAACATGAAGTTTCATGTTCGTGTTTACAAGACCCCGCCTCTAAACCATATCCTCAAGCAGGTGAAGTCAGTTCACACCTTCATTCCCCACCTCTCTAAGATCCATTTTAATATTATCCCAGCAACGCATTGTACTCTCAAGTGACCTTTTTGTTTCAGGTCTTCCGATTAAAATGTCGTATTTCTTGACTATGCCGTGTGTACTACATGCCCCGCCCATCTCATCACCCTTGATCTGAAAACCTACAATTTATTCATTAGTGAAGCGACCTATAAAGTTCCATTTTATGCCGTTTTCGCCATTCCCTTGTCAGTAATTCTCTCTCAGGACCAGATGTTCTTCTCAGTACCGTGTTCCCTCTCAGACACTCTCAGTTGATATGCACGCGTCAGTATGAAGAAAAACCTGTAACAGCGATGGACTGTTTTTTCAGGAGATGGAGTCAAACCAACATCATAGGTGTTTTCAAGAAGGCGGCAGGTGCAAGTGCACCGAAACATTGGACCCTCTGAACGATTTGAGAGATAAAAACCTCTTCTGTGACGCGGTGTTGAGGTTGGAGGACGGCGGCGTCTTTCGAGTCCACAGAGTGATTCTTTCGATGCGCAGCACATATTTCAGGTTTGTTTCAATTGTGGTTGACTAACAAGTGAAATAAGGACACGATAGACGTCAATTAGTATGTGAAATCTTATAACTTCTTTGTTGCAGAAACCTGTATTGTGATATGGCTATTTGTCTTTTGTTATTTGTTCATTGTCATGAAATCTCACGGCGGTGAGGAAGAGGACGAATGTCTTTGTACGTTTGGCCGTAGAATCTCAGTGGCATTTCAGACGTACTTACTGCCTTCTTTCCTTGATGATGGAGGCAGTGAGACGTCAATTAGTATGTGAAATGTTATAACCTCTTTGTTGCAGAAACCTGTATTGTGATATGGCTATTTGTCTTTTGTTATTTGTTCATTGTCATGAAATCTCACGGCGGTGAGGAAGAGGACGAATGTCTTTGTACGTTTGGCCGTAGAATCTCAGTGGCATTTCAGACGTACTTACTGCCTTCTTTCCTTGATGATGGAGGCAGTGAGTACCTCTGAAACGTCCGATAATTTCTACGAGACAATACGACGCAACGACCTAGAAGACGGACGTAGTTTTTTGTACTAATTTTTAAGTGCGGTTGTACCAAGGTGACAGTCAATCGATCTGAAGGGAGAATTAGAATCCATTTCCAAAACGTCTTGGTTTTAATACATAAAGACGACCGACAAAGTCCAGAAGCAATTTGGTAATGCACCTTTGTCACGCCATTGTCCGTAACATTGAAAGCTGCTGTGTGCTGCTCTGTCTGAAATATAATGAACTGTAACAAAGACCTTCGGGAAATAAGTTTCATTGGTAGGAGAGAATCGTTCGAGAATTTGTGCATACGTTAATTTGCTTGTGTATTAAATAAAGATGCGGTGCGTTCTTGAAATGAGAAATGAATTATAACCGTGAACCATTGTTTCTGTTTTCCAACAGACGTTTCTCATGCCATGTTACAAACTGTGCCCCTCTTTCAGTTTTCCGAAAATCAGATTTTCTTTTTGTCTTGCCCTTAATTTGTAATAGGAAATTGTTTGCTGGTTAGTGATCACTTTTTAAAGGCGGTATAGAAAAATCAGCTTTCCTTTTAAGTTGTTTATTGTCGTGAAAAATAGATTTCATATTAAGAACTGATCAATCAGTGGAATATACAGCCCTTGATGTATGTTGAAATGTTTGTGTTAATTTGCTGATTGGCCCTAAAATTTCTGTAATAGGTGTTATAAGCTCAGGTGTCTTTTGAAGGAGTCAAAGGTATGTAAGAAACGTTGCTGATTGGCTTTAAAATTTCTGTAATAGGTGTTATAACCTGAGGTGTCTCTTGAAGGAGTCAAAGGTAATCATTCTATAGTACAAATGATCGCTGCTTGGTATTTTACCCTGCATTTTTGACAGGTTCCTTTCTGGTACTGACATAAACGCTTTTCTGTCAGCATCCGATTTGTAAGTTATATTCTGTTAAGCCTACGCACGCTGTTCACACCCTCGGAGTTTATCTGGTCACATTAGTACATATTCTGGGAGTTTTTGAAGTATTCAGATAACAAAATTTCATCCACCACGTTGACAAAAGGATACTTTTATTTTTTGCTACGTGAGTTATAAAAACTTAAACTTTATGCGCATGACTTGTAATTTTCTGCTCGCCGTTTCTCGAAATCAGTACAAATTAACAACTACTTCGTGACGTTTCAGGAAACTCTTCTCAACAACACTGCACACCAGTGAGGAGACTGATATTCTCCTCCACGGAATTAGCTCGGACGTCATGACGCCGATACTAGATTATGTTTATTTTCGCGAGGTGGACATCCACTCCGACAACGCGTGTCAGCTGCTCGTGACGGCTGAATACTTCTGTATACCAGGCGTTAAAGAACTCTGCTGCGACTTCCTCCAGGACGCGATGGACGTCAACAACTGTATCGGCATCATGCATTTCGCAAGGTAATTGATTTTAATTTGGCATTTGCTGCGACGTCAGCCTTCGTCGCTGGAGCGAATCAGCTTTACTCAGAGAGCAGCCGAGTGCCGGGTCTGAGATTAAAGCCTCTGACTGAGGACTGGGCGAATTATAATGCGTTGTTGGACAGGGCTATTGACAGGTTGTTATTAACGTGCCTGTAATTTAAATGTTCTGATATAACTGCATACTTTTTGATCGTCATCATGACCAGCAGATGACTAATTTCACCATGTAGAACGTGAATCACGACCAATGCAGGGTCACAATTATTTCTGTCTTCCTCTCGAATTACTTTCCTTCTTTCTTTCTTTCTTTCCTTCTTTCTTTCTTTCTTTCTTTCTTTCTCTTCGGCAATCCTTGTTTCTTACATAATCCTCCCAATATCAATGGCAACATTCAGCCCCACATCTTTCTGCACACAGTAAAACCTCTGTGAACCGACCCTCGATTATCTGATTCACGCATTAAGCAACCGAATTTCAACCAGATCGTTTGTGATCGATTTCTGCCAGCGACATTGTGTAAATCGATGTCCACGTGGTACAGTTACTTGATCTAACCTCACACCCAGATTTTGCTGATTATTATGAACACTTCAGGTCATTTAGAGAATTGGTTATTTTCGGGCAAAGACCAAAAGCAACCTGCTGGTTGCCTTAGAAGGAAAACCCCTACTCCTTCTTGTTGAGAACAACAAAGCAAGCATATCAACTGACATCGGCAGAAAGCGATGGACAGAGACTCAGAATGCCTAATAAATTAACTATTTTAATACAGGTACTCCCTCGAACAGCGCTCAAGATTGACTCTTTTGATGTCAACTTGTGCTTGCGAAACGCCCGCATCATCTGCAGCCAAGGAAAGTCTGTATTGAGTCTCTACTTATTTTTTTCAAATTCATGGCCACGTTCCCCTTCCCCTAGCGCATCCGACCTATCGGCTTATCCGACCCGTGATCTCCCCCCCATATAGGTCGGTTAAACGAGGTTTTACTGGATTAACACACACAGTTAATACAATGTCGTTTCGCCAAGGTTGATGCCATAATTCAAAATTCTACACTTCTCGTCTCACTGCCATCTTCACTTGCGTACACCGTGCCCTTCTTTCAACCTATAACTTTATCACGAGAACGTGCGGGCATTGCCTGGGAACCTTCAGAGCCGAAAACTTACTATTTTGCCCCGGTTAAACGGAGCGTCTCTCGCTGTTGCCTCTCCACTTGTTTCTTCTCAGTCTCACTCACTCGGGCTTCAAAGGGCTAAGGTAAAAGCTGGAGGCGAAATACTGTGGTGTGCAAATGCTTGAGAATTCAGTTTTTGCTGCAGTGTTTCATTGTGTCAGAGTTCGAAGGAGATCGATTCTGAGTCGGCCCTTACCCTCGCTGTCGCAGGTTTCACCTCTTCGCCGACCTCGAGACTCACGCCCATCGCTTCGTTCTGCGCCACTTCGTGGAAGTGTCTCAGCAGAGCGAAGAACTGCTGGATCTCTCTGCAGAGGAGCAGCAAGCGATAATCGAGTCCGAGGAACTGAACGTGAAGGACGAGAAAGTTGTGTGGGAGTGCGTTCTCCGGTGGATTAACCACGACCCGGACAACAGGAAAGGCCATATCGTGGACCTTTTGAAGGGCGTCAGACTGGGACTACTTGACGTAAAGTTTTTCAAGGAGACGGTCAGTATGCCCCTGAAATCGTGGATGTTTATGGGAAGTGAAGCCGCATTTTAAATTCCATTTTCGTACGTGTTAGTAACTAATTTATGGAAATCGTGAGCCTTTTTCTTGGTCACTTGTATGGTCGTCCGTCTGTCCGCAGTTCCAGCTCGAGAATGTCTAAACGGATTTTCATTAAATTTGATACTGATGAGCTTTAACCGAATCTGTTGACACATTCCAATTATGGTTAAAATCTTACACTAACAACGTAAAAATTACTCAATGATTTTAATGCCTTATTCCGCGCAAAATTTGCTGCGTAAAAAATACCCAGATTACGTTGGTTACCATGGTTACCACAACTTCCTGTAGAATAGCGCTAGTTAACACACTCGCATATGTGCGCGTGCGAGTTCAAAACAAATATTTGATTCGTCCTTTTTTGTAGATATGTGGTCGGAGTTAATAATCGTCTTTTATTCACCGTCTGTAAGCGGCCGATAATTTGGCAGTCCGTCTGCGCTACAGTCTCAGCGTTTATTAAGATCCATTACATGTTTCAGTTCAACTACAGCATTCCACCGTTAACTACATTCAAACGCCCACTCAGCTTGAATAGGAAAATCCTCCAACAGAGTATTCACGTCTTCTGGCGCAGCGTTCTACTTAACCAAAGATCCACTGCCATAAGAAGCGTATCTTAGCTGCTATAATAATTTCACGCATCTCCGACGATATATAGAGTCAACCCAAGATCACTTCAGCGTGATAAGTCCCAGCTGATTGACCACGTAGGGAAAACAGATATCCGAAAAGTGCAGCAACGAAGCTTCGTACTACAGTCAACAGTAAATTACCCGAGGGGCTTGAAACTCATAGACATCTTGAAAATTGTAATAATTTAACCGCCATCTCACGAAGCAGCCATACAACTCACGATATTCTTTCTTCCACTTCAGCGTGCGCTTTAACCTGAGAGAAAAAATGTTTCCAAACTATGTCAAATGTCCTGTGCTTTCAGCCAATCACCTCTTACGAATACGCGTGAAACAATCACACGGACCCATGAAAATCTTATCTGCTTCAAATGTCTTTACCATTCAGCACTCATACCTACTAGTATCGACTTTAACCTGAGAGAAAAAAATGTTTCAAACTATGTCAAATGTTCCTGTGCTTTCAGCCAATCACCTCTTACGAATACGCGTGAAACAATCACACGGACCCATGAAAATCTTATCTGCTTCAAATGTCTTTACCATTCAGCACTCATACCTACTAGTATCGAACCACCTGATGACGACCAATTAAGGTCGAAACATGCAATGTATCTTAATAGACATCGAGCCCATTATCACACACCTTCAACCCAACCAGCAACATGCAGAAAGGATGCCTCCCTTGACACTCGAAGCAACTAATTGTCATAATTTTTCTTTCGTTGCTACGTAATTTTGACGATTAATTAAAGTTATCGAATCAAAAAGAATGTTGTGAACACAGCGTGCATCTTGCACGGGATAGTTTACGTTTTTGAATGTAACTCAAAATGCAACTCTTACTGAAGTATTTAACATTCGGTTGAAACACATTTCAATACATTTCTCTCTGGTCGATTTAACTTTCCCATCCCTTCCTAAAAGTTTATAAGGTCCACATTGAACTGTTCAACAGGTATCAAATCACCCGTACGTGACGGAATGTGAGACGTGCGGGCCCGTGATCTCGGAGACGCTCGCATTTCTACACGACTCAGAAATGATGACGAAGGAAGACAAGGAATTCGTGACACCAAGGTATGCCTACCCGCGAATCCCACAGGACATTCTATTTGCTATTGGTGGGAAACGTAAGAGATACAGGACAGATGTGATAGAAGCGTACGACACACGAGCAGACCGATGGAGCCTGGTGAGTTGCACACAATTCTACTCTTAACATGCCTTGTTAAATGACTCCTCCGAAAATACTATTAATAATTCTCCTCTTGTTTTGCTTAATTTTACTAAGTAATTGTTTGTTTAAGCTTAATCAAAAGGACCTCTTTATTTTGTGTTCTTTATTTGCAATGCAGTGAACCCTTTTTAAGAGTAGCTTCAAAGACATGAATCAAGAAGTATAAATACATAAATCACACAAATGCTGAGTCTCCTGTAAGACGTAAGTTCTAATTGGAATCCACGAAATTCATTAAATTTGCTTTAAATGCCAATTACAATAAGCGTCAACTGTCATGGCAACCTGTCTGCTGATTTGAGACATAAAAGGAAATCATCGTAGATCATCAGTGGATTTCAACGTAATAAATGAAGTACTGATCAGTGTCGATGTTGGATATCTGGGTGGTAACGCCGCGTGAATTAGAAGGCTGACACACGTTTTGGGATGGGGTGGTGGGACGTACTGCCTCCAGTTTTGCGTCGATAAAACCCAAAACACCAATATCAGTCTTCACCATCGTACAAACCTGAAATGTCAGCTATTGATAAGAAATTCTACATTTGTCTGTCGTGCTTGACGAGAGCACTGGTAATGCTGAAGATTCTCTTCGGGTCTTCATAATTTCACCATTGCCCCAAGTTAATTTCTCACGGTCTTTGTCGAGTAAGGTAGGTCCGGACACCCACCACGGTGTAGCAATTTCAGTCCACTGTTGGGGGCTGTACCCCTGCTCCGGTGGTTGGTTGCTTGGAGTTCAAGTGACCCAAAGAAACATAAAGCCATAACCTGTCGTTTCTGCAGGTGGAGGGGGTCAACTCGATCGGTCCGCGATCCGGCCATGGCACGGCAGTAGTAGGTTTCGACATTTACGTCATCGGTGGTTACGACGGCGAGGAATACTTACGCTCATGTCGCTGCTTCAACACTGTTACGAAGAAATGTCGCGAGGTGGCGCCTATGAATATCCGAAGGTAAGATGCAGATCGGTATAATAACGAAGGAACTCCTTGGTTCAGAGTCCTTCTTAAAAAGCTGATAGTCGATCTCTTAGTCAAGATATAAATGTGGGCAGGAACTGTAACATTTTACAATTGCGATCTGCGAGAGGAAATGCATCTGCATCAGCAATAAATTATTATAGCAGAGCGTGTACTTTTTCTTTTCGTTTCAGATACAAATTAAGTGTGGCTGTTCTGCGAGAAGTAGTGTACGCCATGGGCGGTTACCATGGACTTGTAATTTTCAAAACGGCGGAAAGATATGACCGCAAGAAGAACCAGTGGTCTTCGATCGCTCCAATGAACAAAGGGCGAGCTGATGCAAGTGCGGCTATGCTCAATGGTACGTAAATTCTGTGAAACTGAAATGTGTGAATTAGTGCAGAAAGGCAAGGCGTCTGTCTGTCCGTGCGTCCGCGTATAACAACGCAAGAACAGTTGAAGGAATCGC